AGGGCTGGAACTCTGGTCAGTGGCTGGGGGAAAAGTGTAGGAACCCACTGTAGTAGTAGGAAGAAGGACCGTGGTAAGCTAGAGTATTTTCATTTGGGTTCTTGTTAGGACAAGAGTCAGTTCTCAGGATGGGTTATCTTGAGTCCTTATGGAAGAATGAGTAAGCTCTTCATGTACATATATGGAATGATCTCTCAGAATAAAACAAAAGAAATACAGAGCACTCGGTATAGTATGCTAGCAATTGTGTAAAATAAAAGGTGCATGGCTATATATATCTAATCTATCTTACTTCTGGAAGGATCCACAAGAATCTGTAATTTCTTGGTAAGTGGTAATGAAGAACTGAGGAAAAGAAAAAAGGAATGGAAAGAAGACTTTAACTTATACCTATAAATTGTTATATGACCTTGGAAAAATTAAAGATATATGTTTTAAAAAGAGGGCTGCTGAGGGCTTCCCTGGTGGCGCAGTGGTTGAGAGTCCGCCTGCCGATGCAGGGGACACAGATTTGTGCCCCGGTCTGGGAAGATCCCACATGCCGCGGAGCGGCTGGGCCCGTGAGCCATGGCCACTGAGCCTGCGCGTCCGGAGCCTGTGCTCCGCAACGGGAGAGGCTACGACAGTGAGAGGCCCGCGTACCGTGGAAAAAAAAAAAAAAAAGAGTGCTGCTTGGGGATTTCATGTGAGACTAAACAGGATTACATGTGTTGGGAAGGGTAGAGAATGAAGTGGCAGTCATCTCACATGATGGAAGGAAATTTTTTTCTTTTTCTTTTATTATGTATCTATATGAGTTGCTGGATGTTCACTAAACTTATTGCAGTAACCATTTCACAATGTATGTAAGTCAAATAATTATGCTGTACACCTTAAACTTATACAGACCTGTCTGTCAATTACATCTCAATAAGATTGGAAGAAAAAAATGTTATTGCAGTCATTCTGCAAGGATGAAATATTAAAATTTTGGAAAAAACTTATTTATATCAATGCAAAAAAGATTGTCGATTGGATTTATTGATAACTCTGATATTTCACCTGTTCTTTTGGGTTATGTTCCTTTGACATATCAATAGTTTACTTAGCTGCTCTTTTGGAGATGTTCTGATTGAAAATTTAACCAACATTTCTTTCCTTATTCATATAAGTTCTTTCAGTTTTTAAACGTCTCTTCTTTGATCTAAAGCTTTTTTGGAGGCTTTTATTTCTTCTAGAATGTAAGCTAGAATCATGGAGAAGAATTTTCTGCAGTACTCTAGTCTTGTTTATAATAGTAAGTTCTTTAAAAATTTCATAACTGATGTTTCCAAGGGTTCACAATTAAATATTAATACATTGGGGTTGAACTACAAAACACCAATTTCTGGAGGAAAGAGTCAAATAGTCAACAAACCAACAAATGGTGAGAGCTAGTGAATACTCCGAGCTAGCTATTTATCATTGGTGTTTGGTAATTGTGATTTATTGGGGAAAGTTACAATTCTCTGAGTTCATCAGGCTTTCACTTCTGTATTGTGGCCCAGGCTTACTGCATTTGTTTGTAACATAAATCATGTCCGGATACCAAAGACTACAGACCTGCTAACCTTTAAGCTTTTGATTTTTTTTTTTGTTTTCTTTGTATTCTTTGTGTTTCCTTATTAGGAAATCTTGATGCTATGCTCTAATGCATATTATTTTCTTAAAAGAAATGTTATCCAGCAATATTATTTGATATAAGGGTTACTAGAAGACAGGTGAGCTTCAAATTTATGGCATTTGACATCTCTTTTTTTTTTAAAAAAAAAAACCTCTTCTTGGTGTCATTTTGGATCAGAATCACCTACTCAAAGACTGTTGTTTCTTGAAATCCTGACAATAAGAAGTTCATTAGCTCGTATTGTGGGTAGTTAAAAAATTAGCATACTAAATATTGCTTTAAGTTACAGGTTACTGTCTCCCTTCTTTTATGAAATCCCCTCAGAATGCTTTGCTCTTAAATCTTTACTTGCTAGGTTCCTTCCTGTCATTCAAAGTTCACATCAAATGTCATTTCCTCAAGTAGGAAATGATGTCTAAAGCTCTAATGCTTTCTAAAGTGGTCCCCTGCCATTACTCTCTATCACATTACCTTATTTTATGTCAATATCTGAAATCATCTTACCTATCTGTTTCCTTTTTTATTGTCTGTATCCTCTTAGTAGGAGGAACCCTTTGTGAGGGCCGAGATCTTGCCCTTCTTGTTTTCAGCTGTATCCTCAGAGCTATATCCTCAGTTTGGGACTCAGGATGTAATAGACACTCAATAAATACTTAAAAAAATTCAATAAACAAATTAAATTGGAGTTACCAAGAGATTTTTCCCCTGCAGTTTACTATGTGTATAATCTTGAGCACATTCTTTGATCCCATTCATCTTCTTTCTTTCTTTGTAGAATATTGAGTTGAGGAACATGACTTAAAAGGTTGCTTTAAGGTTGAAAAGCGTGACAGCTTTAACTTTGACAATTCCATTTAATTAGTGTAGTTTAATGTCAAGAAAGCGCTTTGCATTGGGTTACTCTACTAGCAGACATCTGTAATATTTCAGCCAAATTATTGTTTTCCTTGGATTTTGAGAGGAAAATTTCTTACCTTATATTTTTTCCTCTCTTGGATACTTCCTTTCTGCTATAACATTGACTTGACATCATGGTATGGAAGAAAAAAGGCCACTGTTTAAAAGGACACCTATCATCTCTGGCTGTGCTCTGTCAGGACTTGATCAAATCTGGCTTAGTGTTACTGAAGTTAAGCTCAAGAGATGTTCCTGAATCTCCAGTTCGCTCTGAGTGATCAGGGGTCTTTGAAAGGGCTCAATATCTACTCTTCATTTTTTCCACAGTTCAAATTCAAAGCCCAGATTTCAAGTGACTAAGACAAACAGATGACAAGTGGCTTTTTTCGCCTCCTATATTTGACCACACTATGTATTCTTATGATATATTTTAATAACCCTATTTAAAATAGGATAAGAAATCTGATCCTTCTTATTCTCTTCTCATGTTAATTTTCTCCTTGGTACTTACCAATTTATCACCATCTAATATCACACACACACACACACACACACACACACACACACACACACACACACCTTATTTATTTATCTTCATTTTGTTTTTCTTCAGTAGATTGGAAGCTCCACATGAGAATATTTTTCTATTTTTGCCTGTTTCCTCCCTGTGTGTCTATGGTGTGTCATGTACTAGAAATATAATAAATATTTGTTGAATGAATATTTACATATATAATTTCTAGACACTTTTTTTCCATTAAATCTATTATCAGAAAAGCAGGACCTATGATTTCTCATTAAAAAAATCAGTCATTATTTTGGAACTTAATTTTGTCATTGATTAGTGTTCACTGTATATGTTAAACTCTACAATTTTTCCTTTGGAATGGGAATTGAGAAAAAGTCCATAAGAAGATATTCAAATTAGCTTGCATGCAAAAAGTCAACCTTACAAGATTCTGATGAATAGAAAAGAGAGCATTTAAGAAAAAAAAAGCTTCCATGGGTATATAGTTTAATGATCTCACACAGAATGCTTCCTATTTTTTAAATCTTCATTAAAGAAGAAGAGAGAAATTTTGTTTATTCTTTTGATCACCGTACTTCTTAGTTTCTACACTATGAAGTAGGAGGAAAAGGTTTGTTTTTTTACATGAGTTAAAATTTCCATAAATTTCATTTTTTTTTCAGGATAATTTGAGCTTTTTGAGTGCTAAGCACCCCGTTCCTTTCTCATACTTAACTAGATTAATCTCAGGAGGGAAAACATGTTGAACAGCATTTTCTTCTTTCCAGTAAATCAAATTAAGGGTTGTTCAACATGTCAAGCAGGATGGGGGAGCTCTGTGAAGTGTTTTTTTCCCAGAAGAGCAGGCATCCACTATTCATAAGACTCTAGCAAGCAGAACAACAAAGAGAACTAAATAGCAAATTGCCAGGACTTAATAAAAATCTGAATGATCTTTCCTTCTTAAAGGAAAAGGGTCACTGATCCAAAGCATGCTATTGACACGAACAAGAAAGAAAAATGAATACATGGACTTGGAAGAGTGAATTTTAGGTTAGTTAAACTGAGCCCACCTGTTGTCCCCAATTATTTTATTTTTCAAAAAGTGAACCCAAAGTGTTAGAAATCCCAGATTATAGAAAGATCTTTTTTTGGAGTTAAATGAACCAAAAGCATAATTTCCCCTTCTGAAACACATCCCAACCATTCAATTTCTCACTATTCATTCATACATTCCAGGGGCCTATTGTCTACGAGACAGACCAACCTGGAAATAATTACAGTGGTATGACAAATGTCCTAATAAAAATGTGGACAATGTACAGAGAAGGATTTGGTTAACGCTGCCTGCAGAATTTAGACAAAGCTCTTGTCAGAGAGTGACATTTGAACCACGTTTTAAAGAATAAGGAGGATTTTTCCAGCAGGACAACGTGGAAGGAACATATTGACCAAAAGGAGATGGCTTTTTCAAAGCAATCAGTATGAAAAAGAGCAAATAAAAAGTGTGTAAGTCCTTACTTGTTTCACAAAAGGCTTGTAGTTCATTTTCCTGAAGGCTAATATTACTTTTTTTTTTTTTTTAACAATTATATACCTGCTTTTCATGTCTAGCCCAATAAAGTCTCCAATAACCAAATTTAGATGACTAAAACCAGAGTGTCAGGGAGACATACTTTTAATGGGAATCATTTGTTTAAATCACTATGGTGAAGAAATGTGTTCACTTGTCAGTTAAATAGCCTAGATGCTCTGCAAGCATTTCCAGGATAGCTATTCATAATGATTGGTCCTCTTGTGGGTAAAATGCTGCCGTTTCCCCATTGCTGGTGATGGAATGTCTTGATTAATATCTCTCACTTTTCTTCAGTCTCCCTCCTGGGTGTTTTGGCCATGACTTCATGGGAATTCAACCGTTGCTTGGTAGAAATATTTGTAGAGTTGTTAGGACAGCTCATACACTCCTTGAAACAGATGTTTGTTTGCTCCCATTACTCCTTCGGCCCTCTTGCCTCCTTTCTTAGCTGCCTCGCCTGTTTCCCATCACCTTCTTCCTGTCCCCTCAAAAGGAGGTAAGACTTGTCCAAGCTATGATCTCTCTACTCATTTTTCTTAATCCTTATCATTTACTCAATACTGTAGATGTTATAAAATTAAATAACTATCCCAAATCTGATTATTCTTGCTTATACTTTAAGTAAATGTACAATTATTTGAGTTTTAAGGTTGTAATAGAAGTATTTTTGGAAATATTAATAATGCTTTCTATTTTATGATAAAATATTTTCTATTATGTTATGATAATATTAAATTTGATTCAATTAATCTTTATGAACTGGTATAGCATCATGAAAAATTATTATAATATTTAATAAAGTAGAATATTAGTCTTTACATATAGCTCTTAAGTGTATACGTACACATGGGTGATGAAAAGAATAAAAATCTTATTGCACAGACTCTTTTATTTTTCTGTTTATGATACTTGTCACATCTAAATATAAATGATGATAATTATTACTTAGGCCAATAAGCATTAAGCTCCATAAATGAAACATTCATCTTCTCACTTTTCTTACACACGCCTGAAATATATGAAACAAAGTACAGCCAACATATTAATCGCCCATTTAGCCAAGAAAGGAAAAATAAAACTTTCTCAAAATATAAACAAAGATTTTAAAAAAGTTTTTACGTTTTTAAAACTAATAGATATCGATAATATTTAAGATGGGGGGTTTAAGTGATCACCTTTTTTTTTTTTGCGATACGCGGGCCTCTCACTGTTGGGGCCTCTCCCGTTGCGGAGCACAGGCTCCCGACGCGCAGGCTCAGCGGCCATGGCTCACGGGCCCAGCCGCTCCGCGGCATGTGGGATCTTCCCTGACCGGGGCACGAACCCGTGTCCCGTGCATCGGCAGGTGGACTTTCAACCACTGCGCCACCAGGGAAGCCCTAAGTGATCACCTTTTGTATCTATATTTAAACATGATTTAATGAGAGTTATTGGTTTGGAATGCATAGTTACATTAAGGGGCATTGTTTAGTTGGAAAGAAATTGAATTATCCTGTAAACACGACTTTTGTGGGATGCAATTTGATCTCAAGTGTTGTCATTTCCACAGAATTATTAATTTTTGATATCACATGATGATAGTTAACACTTACTTTGTATAGGCATCATTCTAAGTGTTTTATATTTATCTACTTATTTGATAATCAGAACTGCCCTATGGAGAAAGTACTGTGGATCATCCCTGTTTAGCAGGTAAGGAAACTGAGGCACTCAGTGGTTAAGGTCCAGGCCACATAGCTAGTGAGGAACTTCTGGCCTCAGCTCTCTGCAGTTTGTGCTAGTAACCACTGAACTCTATTTTTTTAAATAATTAGGTGTCCTGTTGGACTACTCCTTCTACTAAATTAGTTGTGTATTAAATGTTTGAGGAACATTTAATGAGTGACTGAAAATTACATATATAAAATCATGATCAATCAAAAGCCAGCCATCCTGGAGGTAGGAGTGGAGAGAAGCCTTTTGTGCTAATCCAGGTGAATTGTGATGAGGGCTGGAGAGGAGGATGGATAGAAGAGAGGTGAAAGATGAAATCCTTTTGATTTGGTGACTGATTGATTAAAGGTGGGGGAAGATTGAAAGGGTATAGTCTTGAATGGTTCCTTTGATTCTAGTCTGGCAACTGGGTATGGACAGTGGGATCATTAAGATAGAGGACACAAAACGTGAGAAGTGGGCATATTCAGGAAGATTGGGTTGTTTGTGTCTAGAATTCAAGGTTGTAGCTTGATATTTAGATATATGTTTGAGAGCATATTTGATTAACCTTCAACTAGACAAGGAAAAGAGGTCCCCTGAAACACTAGATGTGTCTCTCTTAACCTCCTTGTGTCTCAAGTGGACATTCCCCTTGAGTCACACTTCTGATCTTTCTAGGGCGTTTAATATCAGCTGTATTTTCCCTTGAGGATAGAATCAAATTCCCAAGGCAACAATTTGCTAATTCTAAAAGACTGATCTAATCTTTGTGGAGATATGCTTCACTGGCCAACTATAGACAGGGTTTCAGGTAAGAGGACTTTAGTTGTTCATCTTAATTGGTACCATAAATGGAATCAGAAGCAGTTTAGATATAACATAATTAATGTGGGGTGGGCATAAGGCAGAAGCAGAGTCCTGTGTTGCCTGTTCTTAGAGACAAGCAGAGGAGACACCAGAATTGGGATAGACCAATGCGGTGGTCATGGAGTTGCATTTCTCATCTGTCCCATCAAGAAAATTGCTGTGAGGAACAGAGCTGCCTACCTAACAATCTCCAGTTACCACAACTTTGGGCTCTATAGGGGCATTCACACCGTGGCCAACGACTAAGCACGGCGGTAGTGCTAGATATAGCAGTCCTGCCATAAATGGGAATCCATTCATGGACATTCTTTGCTCACGAGCTTCCTATTAACCTGACCAAGACATTTTCAAAACTTCACTATAGTCTGAGACTTTTTTATCCAATTCTCTTCCCACTCTTCTTGCACAAATGTCTGACCTGCACTGTGGCTGGAAAGCTCTTCCCGTCTATTCCTGCTTCCTTTATCTTAATTCTTCATAGGCCTTTCTCGCAATAAAGCTCCTACACATCTAATCCCATCTTGGCATCTATTTCTCAGAGGACCTGAACCCGGTTATGGGTTAAAATGACAAGAGTTTCTATGTGACATATAAGCATATATTACTTATCATGTCTCAGATGATACTCCTATCCTCACCTTTGGGCTAAGGATGATCTATTACTGGTCATCCCTGGATAAGAGACCTTCTGTTTAGCCAAAAGAGCACATTTACATACATTCTTGAAAGTCACAGAAAGATAAAGATATACATAAAACTAGTTTTGAGATTATTTTAAGCAAACGGTCGCACAAATTCTTGAAGTTGGCAATTGTCTAAGTTTCTGAAGGATAGATAATGGAACGATGGGAGTGAAAGTTGACAGCTGATCCCTGTGGAACACGAACATAAATGCAAGGGGAGAAAGAGGAATTCACAAGGGCAACCAAGAGAGAATAAGTAAAACGATAGCAGTAAATGGGAGAGGTGACATGCAGGCCACTGGATAAGAAAGGGTTCAGAAGTAAGGAGCAGTCAGCAGTGCCAACTACCAAAGAGAAAGCAAAGAAGAGAAGGACAGAGTCTTTTCACCGATCTGATACTATGGGTGTTATTAGTGACCTTAGCAGGAGCAGTTTTACTGGAGTGGGGAGGACAAAAGTGAATAGCAGTATGTTCATGAATAAGAGCTATGGTAGTGGATAGTATGAATATAGATGTTTATTTTAAAAAAATTTATTATTTCATAAAGGAAAGAAGAAAGAGAAGAAACAGAAAAATGCGAACTTAGGGCCAATTTTTTTTTTAAACATAGGAGAAATTTTCTGTTGGATGAGTGGTTTTGGGCCCATCATTTAACTATCCCATGCTTCAGTTTCTTCATCTGTAAAATGAGGGGAGTAATTATGCTTTCTCAGTGTTCTTTTGAGGGATAAAGGAGCTGATATACATAAAATACTGGAAGAGTGCCTGTATTGCACATTCTAAAGCCAATGAAATGTTTGCTTGTACGTAAAATTGCTTGTATGTAAAAGTAAATGAAAAATATCTATGGAGAGGGAAGTTTGGAGTTTTAGGTTTTCCTTCAGAGACAAAAGGAAATGAGGAATAAAGTTTCAAATTAATAAATAGAATTTTTCTTTTTATCCTGATAGTTCCCATGTTCTCATGGAGGAATGAAGGTCTCTGTATGAACAGTAGATCTTCTTAATCTTTCCTGGCTAGCTAGTGTCAAAGCTTCCATGAATAAGCTAGCAGGTAATGGGTTGGAAGTTTTGAGGAAAGAAGTGAAGTTTAGAGCATCTGCTGAGAAGCAAAGGAAAGATGAATGGGGTAAGGATAGATAGAAGGGCTGCTGGGATTATTAATGTACATGCTTAGAAATTATTAATTAATATGGGCTTTCATCATCAAGCTCTCTGAGTGATATTCTTTAGCAGGGTTCAGTCATCTGGGATAAAGAACAGGCAAGTTAGGCAACTGGATTTATCCAGATCTATACTATTCCAGGGCAAATGAGGTGGAGAAAGCAAGAAAGCAAGAAAACAAGAGTTTGAGGAAAGGACCAGGAAATATTTATGTGATAGGCCTAAGAAAATGGGTTAGAAAGGTATGGAAGTAAGACCTGGAAAGTACGGGCAATTAGGAAGCATTGATGGGTACCACAGCCAGACAGTCTCTGTGAGGGTAAGAAATAGAGAGGTTTGGAAAGATGAGTTTGTGAAATGATCTTTGTAGTGGGAGAGTGGAATATTGGAATTTAATGAACAATATGTGGAACTTTACAAAATATCAGCCATGTTTTATAAGAACTGATGGTGTGAAGATAAGAAAATTACAGACATGGAGGAGATCAAGAAGCAGTTGTCTAACATAGTAAAACTATCAAAATGAACATGGCTGTCAGCTAGGATGATGGCAAGATCATGGGTCTATCCTCATGGAAGACCATGACCTACTGATAAAAAATCATTAGTGGGTCCAGCCAAAAGAGGAACACAAATTTGCCCAGGATCTCCTGTAGCACTTTTAAGAGAGCCATTATTCTACTCTGATTGGAGCTTACATTTCTTTATTTTCTTTCTCTTTTCTCATTCTTTTCTTTACTTTTTACACACACACACACACACACACACACACACACACAAACAGAACAAAACAAAAACCAACCAAATTAAAAAAAAAAAAAACTAATCTTCTAGGATCTGGGGCTAAAATATTGAGAACAATAAAGTTTATTTATAGAGAGTGAAATTTTCAGGAGCCTCCAAATGCATTCATTAAAAAAAACATTATGGGGCTTCCCTGGTGGCGCAGTGGTTGAGAGTCCGCCTGCCGATGCAGGGGACACGGGTTCGTGCCCCGGTCTGGGAAGATCCCACATGCCGTGGAGCGGCTGGGCCCGTGAGCCATGGCCGCTGAGCCTGCGTGTCTGGAGCCTGTGCTCCTCAACGG